GGATATACATTCACAGATAAAATACACATTAGGCTTATCTGTGTGCTTGACAACACATGCAAACACATTCGGGTCAGAAGAAAAGCTCCTGTCCCATGAGGGGGTCCGACCTCTCCAGTGAATGAACAGCTCTACGTCACTGGGACAGGACGGCTCATTATTTGTGAATGAGCTCCTTCCTGTGGTGCCATACTGAAGCACTTTGAGCCAACCAACACCAACCACTGGAAATAAATAAGATACTTTTCTGCGCCGTTGTAGACACGCTCTACTCTTCATACAGCCGCTCTGAGAGGATTTTGGCTGGGTTATGAACTGTGCTTGATATAACGTGTTATAAAGTCATCTATTTAAGTTTTTAAACAGCTTATTTTCTGCATTTAGTAATATTAAACTTATTTTCTTCAATTTTAAGTATTTGTTACATTTATTTAATTATTTATTCATCTATCTATTTTGATAAAATTACTTGTTATTGGAAAAAAAGCTGTTCCTTTTTTTTTCAATCTTGCTCCATGGCAGGTAGCTGTGTGCCAGTTGTGTCAGAGCTCAACAACCGCTAACGCAGTGCTAATTCAACCAGTGCTTGAGTGAAATGTTGACACACAGCTTTAACTCTGCGGAGAAATTCACATGATTTTGAGTTTTCCTATTAAACGCACGAGAACGTCAGGGTGAAATTTTCACTGCGCCTAAGGACAGAAGCTTGTCAGTTTCTAAAAACTCTACTTCAAATATGAAGAAGTATCAGCAAGCATAACAGAGCTCTGCAAGGCTGTTCAAGGAGAAGATGCTGGTATAATCACTGCTCCAGATCAGCTAATAGCCAGCTTTCCTCTCTGCCTAACGTTCAGCTTAGGGAGCAAAGTAAAAAAAAGGTGAAGGTGATGTAACACAGTGGTGAACATGCCCCTGTCCCAACTACTTTGGCACGTGTTGCAGCCATGAAATTCTGAGTTAATTATTATTTGCAAAAATATAAAGTTTATGAGTTTGAACATTAAATATCTTGTCTTTGTAGTGTGTTCAGTTGAATATAGGTTAAAAAGGATTTGCAAATCATTGTATTCTGTTTTTATTTAGATTTACAATTTCCAAACTTCAATGGAATTGGGTTTCGTACTAACACCTGCACCAGCTACAGGGGAGACCCTAAGGGCAACTTACTCTGCATTTACAAAGTACAGAAATACAGCCTTGGTGTCTGTATTTGAGTTCACGTTAACACAATAGTACTTCTCGAGCTAGTTGTGTTTGTAAATAAAAAGAGAATGCAAAGAGTAACTATGTAATGGAAGAAATCTTGTAATGCAGTAAGTTACTTTTAAAACAAACATAAGAAACAGAATATCACTAAAATTCCTCCATATGTCCAAAAGTAATCAGCTTTTACATGCTAGGTTAAGTCAAGATGGGTTTAGGCAATTTGAAAACAATTAACAAACTCAGTTAAACATGCACAAGCTGTATGTTAAACTGTGAAAATGTGGTGAACTGTATCTTTTGTATGTGCTTTACTTCTGTACAAATGGGATTCATCTAATCACTGAGGCCTTTAAAACTCTTTTTCAGTTTTCTTTACTAGCTGGCTTCCATCTGCACATTTGTACTGTTTGTCTTCAGGGCAAAAACTGGACTGTGGAGGATGCACAAAACACCTGGGACAGTTTAGGTGTGAGCGTGCAAAGAGAAAATTGATCCCTAACTGCACATACTAGGTATGTTAATCTGACTTTGAGAGATTCGAGTCTTACAAATGTATAACATGGATTTTTAAAGTCCAGTCAACATAAACCAAAAGTTACCCACAAGAGCTTTATTGATAATATCGTGTCTGAAAGTCTATTTTTATCTTCTTAAAAAAAGCTGCAGAGTTAAAAAATGTATATTTATTTAATGCCAAGAATACCTGAGTCTGGATTCCTTGGTGCTTAATCCTAATGTGACACACTTAGCATTGTAGCTAACTGCTTCCTGGTCCAATTAGCTGCCATTACCAGCTGCTAGCATCGCTGTTACACTGTTGACACACATTTCCACGCGTGCACGCCCTCTTTCAGTCATTCAGTGTCTCTCTGTGACATACACATACACACAGGCGGTTTCTTTTTTTGTTGCACAGACACCCACACACACACACGCACATGCACAGCCTGTACTTTACAGATATCAGCTGTTATCCCCGTCTAGCATCAGTCCCCAGGCACTATGCTAACAGCCTCCTCTACAAGCCAATTTACAAGGATTCTGGTCATGTTTACATTAGCCCTCTCTCAGTGCATGAAAAGAGCAGGGCCGCGCCGCAGAATAGAAATGAGCAAATATGAATAATTCAATCTTCCTCTCGGCCATTAACATGTTTCCCTTGAATAAAGTGATAATAGGTTATCATCTGTGAAATGGAAATTTCATAACAGAGACGGTGAGAAGAGCGTCTCCGGTTACACCAGAGGAAATTAATTTCACAGCACATCTGCTCCACAAAGCCCCGGCCCTCCAACGCTAAGTATGAGAAAATGTAGTCGTTCAGCTCCGCTAGCTTTCTAATTAGATTAGCATGCTTATTTGAAGGCGGGAATCTTTAGTCTAGTCAAAGGAATTAGTGTTCCCCATTACAGATACCTAATATTTATAATAATGAAATGACTTAGCCAATTAGGGAGGGTTAAAAATGCATTACTTTACCTTATTATATTAGCCAGATGGTACACTGAATAGTCCATGTTGTGCCCTGCATCTGGATGAGCACTGTGGTGGCCGTTTCTACATAACATGATGTAGTAATAAGTAAAGGAAGGGCACTTTAGTCCTCAGCTTTCTGACTCACTGCTTTTCTGAGGAAGCAGCTTTAGCTTGAGCAGCAATCAAAAGTTTAATGAAAAAAGCCGCAGCTTTCTCCCTCCCTCTTTGTTGGGAAGATAAACGCCCCTGAAACAAATCAATCCTGAAATTGAAAACTTGTGCAGAGAAGGATAAGGAAGTGACAGCAGTGTGAGCAGTTATGATTTTGATGGCTATCGTCATAAGGAGGTCAACAGTGGTGTTAAAGGAGTGAACCCTCTGAGAGAGTAAAGGACTTTGCACCCTCACCTTTCTCCCCACCCCTTCATCTCTTTCTATCATTTTTTTTTTTGTTTTGTTTCGTTTTGTTGTTTACTGCTGGACAGCTGTAAATGATAAGAGATTGAAGGCCAGTATCTGAAATGGGGATCAGCAATCCCTCTGGTGTTTGGCTATGAGACTCAAAGCAGCAGACTTCAGAGCCCGCTGAGCTGAGAGTGGAGGAAGACCAGGAGGAGGAGGATAGGGAGGAGGAGAAGGAGGAGGGCGGGGGGAGTTAGGACTTTTTCCTGCTGGCACCTGCTGTTGGGCACCTGCTAGCATTTATATCAAGATCCCAATGAGCTCGATCAATATTGGATAATTATCATTCACAATTTACACCACATTTCAATACTGAGTGTCAGTGCAGAGACAAGTTTGTACTCAATGGGCCTGATCTACTAAAGGTTTGCGTGTGCAAAAACACTTGCAAACTTGATAGCGCACGCAAACCTGATCTACTAAAGAGGTGCACCGAGAATTGCGTCTGTCAAATGATTAAAACAGTCAGCGCAAACGATTTAGCGTGTTTGCCTTCATGAATGTGTAGAATGTATGTAGATCATCAGAACACGCAAAATTCTGGGAGGAGCAGATGCAAATAGAATCATTTAGCACCCGCATTGTGATTTATCAAACCCGGAAACAGATTGCGGTCGCTGTTTTGCGTCTATATTTAGTACATTTGAAAGGCACGTGCAAACTGAAGCAGCATTACACACGATCATTGTGGGGAGAAGGATGCAGAAGTGCCATGATACACCCCATGATCCTTGTCCAAAAGCTTGTGATTTAATTTGTTTTTCTGGTACATTACGGTTTTCATAGATAAAAAGGTCAAACACAAAACAGACGAAAAAAATTATGTTTTCCCTATTCCCTATTCCCCCTAATCCCTGTTTTGATTTCTAGTATATCTTCTTGCATCTCTAAAGAACTTTGAGTTGCCTTGTGTATGAATGGTGCTGTACAAATAAACTTGCCTTGCCTTTTATGCAGTTCCCCAAAATGATATGTGCAACTCCATGGCTTCAAACACTCTGCTCACACCAACTCTTCATGGTGACAGCCAATAGCACACGCAAAAATCCCCGTTTAAAGAGGGCCGTCCGCACCACTTTTGCTCCCGCTATCAATTGCGCACGCAATTTTTCAATTTTTTTGCAATTTTATTTGTATTGTATCTTGGGCCCGGTACCCGCACATGTGCGGGCAAGACCATGGCATGAGTCTCTTCCGGTCATCTCCAGCCTCGCGCTTCACAGCTCGAGCTGATTTTTTTTCTGATTTTGCTACAGGGGGGTAAGAGCATGTCTAAAATGTTGTGTTTTAATATTTCACTGACTTATATTAATAACTTTTAAAGGTGTTGAACTCTTCTACACGTTTTAAACGCGCTGTGGACATGAAGAAGCCGTCACCTAACTTCACCCCACTATCATATATCAAAACACATTTTCAAATGAGACCAGTCTTACCTCATTACGATGTATACCCCTCCAGTTTCACAATGGTAAGCAGGTAAAGTTTCCACAGGAACAGAAAAAAGTAATCCATTCTCGTCATTTTCCGCGGCGAAATTCGCCGGTAAACTTTGTTGTCACTCTTTTTTTTTTATAAACTTCCCCACAAGCTAACACAACAAATATTTCCTTCTGATTGAACCACAGAAATGCCAATCAAGCTGACAGACATTTCAGTCTGGCCAACCATAGCCCAAAGCTCGCTGTCCGTACCTGCCCATCTATACAGCGATTGGATAAATCAATTCCTTTTTGACTGTAGTCGATTCATTCTGCCAATGGAAGGCTCTCAGACGAGGGTTGATCCAGGTAATCTTCACTGATTGGCTGAGATATAAGCTTGCGCAGCCTTGCAGCGCAAAGCCAAGTAGCTACGGCGATGCTAAATGCTAAAGCTCAGGACCATACAGACAACAGACAGGACGCACGGCGCGGTAAGTAGACTCGCGGAATCAAAACTTTTTTTCTCTGCAGATTCCTGGAGGGTCTAATTATTTAAAGGGGTGATTTTTAAACCAAGAGTTCAGACACTAATAATGTCAATCCAAAGTCAGTGCAAAATAAGGTGGATAACTTAAGTGCAATTATCAGTCACTTTCAGCTCTGACTGATCACATGTAATAGCGTCATTTTAAAATAAACTGGTGTAAAACTGTACTGTAAAACACAGCTTTGTAGACACATTTCAGATATTACACTGCACTGAGTGCAAACTTCACTGCATCACAATTTCTCTGACTCCTACACAATAAGAGCCTCCTGATATTATGCACATTTCGTCACCTGTTCTCAAAGGTTAGGGAGTGAACACTCCCTAACAGTAAATTAGATATACTGACATGTAGCCTCATACCTTTTTTTTTTTTTTTCAGACAAATTTTAACAAAAAAATAAATTTGGTTGTCTGTGTGCAGCATTACTGGGGATCTCCCAGGTGTAGACTTACCATTTGAATCCAATTTGGGGTGGCAGCGCCAGTACAAACATTAAATGATAGTTCACAGAGAGGTAAATGCAATTGTACTTAATGACTATTGTTTAAACCAGCAGAACATAACAGAAAGCGAGAGCTAAAGCTCTAAGAGAGGTTTTTAAATGATTATGAAAAAAACTAATGATGACTCATTTGGACCGTTAACAGTTTTAACTCCAAAGCCTGTCAGTTCTGCAACAGAAAAGACAAGACAGTTTACAACACGATGAAGGAAAACCCATTTTTATTGACTTTATTCATGTGGAGTAATAAAACTGACTGTCAAAAGAAAGCAGTACAAAGTTTTTGGTCAGAAAACAAATAATTTATTTGTGCGGGTGGAGATCAGCACGGACTTAAGAAGTATCCCTTTGTCCACAGGGGGCGCTAAAATCCCAAACTACAAGTCTCCTCACAGAAGCTTTCACTAAATTTACTGAATAAGAACAAAAATACACCTATACGAAATAATATTTTGCTAACACCATATTGTAATTATTCACTATATTTACACAGCTTACTTAACTCATACAATATTACAGCTGTCTGCAGATATTTAGACAGCAAGAATATACAATATACCCTTCTGTGCAGTATTGGAAAATGGTATTATGATTATCTTACAACAGAAAAAGTCAAGACAGCACCAAACTTTTTCAATACATGAAAACTATATTCCTGTAATGTAATGTTTGTGATAATGATTCCATTAAATTTCTGTTTAGTCTGATTTAAAAGTTAGTCATCAGAAGGTAACTGATTAACCCCAGTCATTGCTTTATGGCTTACATTTAGCACATTTTGTCATTGATGTGGTCAGTTTTAGGGCCATTATCTCAGTCATTTACTGATGACCTGTGTTCCCTGGTTAATGGTAACAGCAGTTTCACTTTTCAGGAGTTTCCCTATGGTTGCTTTCTTAATTTCCTAATGGTCCAGAGCATGAAACTGTTGTTCTCCGTAACCAGGAAGCACACAACCCATCTGAGGACAGCCTTGTGATACCACTGTACAAAAGGCCCGACAAACAGAAATATATTTCAGTTCTTCAGGGTTTTTCATCATGCGTGGTGCATAACTTGGGATATTTTGATGCCTGTAGAACCTCAGTCAGATACTTTTTCCAGATATAACTGATATTAGCTAAACATCAATGAAATATCTTTACATTCCCCATGCCATAACTGTCAATATATTGATTCAGTATTTGAGAAGAATATGACCAAATCTGCAGAATGGTCTGCACTGAACAGTTTAGTAAGTAATATAGTTATGTCTTTGATTTAGTTTTATCCTCATGTCTATGGCAATTCAGAAGCAGTTTTTACGATGCCACATCACTTTTGACTAGTCCATCGAACTGTCAGAGAGTTTGTTGAAGTGATGTGCCATTCAAGAGAGAAATGGTGTTGTTACCACAGAGTAATCCAAAGCTTTGCAGCATTGTCTAAAAGTAATATTCCTCTCTAATATCAGAGCTTGTTAAAGACCCCAGACACCTCATCAGGTACGCTCTTTGTACGTCTGCAGCTCTAATCAGCCTCCCTTTATTAATATTGATATGCTGTTTATTTTTTGCCAGTGATTTTAACCTACCGAGTAGAGGTTGTGTTAGGTTCCTGCTCAACTGCACTCTCCACACTCCACTCCTGTGCACAGACCTTGTCAAGGTTAAACTCCTGCAGTTGACACATTGTTTTCCATTGCAATTCCCCGCTGCTCTTCTATCTTGCTCTGGTCTTTTACAGATTAAGGCAGTTGTATTATAAGACACAGAATTAAGCCTGCAGTGTCCTAAAGATATAGCCCAATTCACTGCTCTTAATTTTGCAATTCCATCACCCCGCTGCTGCAAAGCCCTGCTTCTCCATCAAAACCATTAAGGGCGTTGAAGCCTGGAGTATCATCAACAATGACAGGTAAATATTTAGGCTGTCTCACTGGAGCAAATAAGCCACCCAAGGTCAAATGACTGCGTTTGCCCATTCCAGCCTTGCTACATTGGTCTGTAGGTCTCAGCAGAAACAATGTACACAAATCCGAAGCAGAGACAGAGACTGACGGTTTTTGCACTGACTTGCAAAGAGAAAATGTCGGCTTAAGACTGAAGCATACGATAAGGGAGATAATGTACCATTTAGAATATTTAGATAAAGAAATATCAAGAGATGTTCTTCTTTGCAGCATCACTTTATATCAATACCTGCATCAAAAACAGTCAGTGCATCAGGGGAGCAAACAAATGCATCTCAAAGAAAAAAAGGTCAAGTTTGCCTATTTACCGCTCAAGAAATCATCCCATCTTCAACAACAACTGACTTCCAAATGTGTCATTTATCATACAATCTGTCATACTGAAGCAATGCTCGGCTAAGAAAGGGGAAAAAAATCATAATTGGAGTTTTTATCTTTTCCATTATTTCCTTCCACTCCCTCTGTCAACAACATCAAAACGCCTTTTTGAGTCTGGTTGAGAGAGAAGCTGCAGGCCGATGGGCGGCAGCGGCGGCCTCAGAGATAGACTCAGTTGGATAAGAAGTAAGTGAGTTCTTTGCTTTTGTGTCAACAAGAGACTTTATGGCTTTGAAGTAATAAATCATAAAAAAAACTACTCTCTTCCTAAACATTTACAGATAAGAGAGTTAGGAATCAAATCAATTTAGTTTCTGTGCACAAGGTCCCAGCGTGGCCTGCAAACAGTTTAAGTATCAAAACCATCTCAACGTGAAGACACTGTAAATGGGTTAGTGTGGAGGGGAAGAGAGGGGATGTCATCCTTCAAAAAGTGTAACAGTCGGACTGAGAAGAATCATCACGGTAAAATATGAATGAGGAATTAGCAGCACTGAGGGGGTGAATCACCAAAAAAGCAAATAAGTAGAAATCAATTAAATTTTGGGACTCTTTCAATAAATCATTTCATCCGAGCAAAGAGAACACTTTTATTATCATGTTTTGGCAGAATTATGAGAACTATTAACTGTAAAGACACGGCACAAAAGCTCAATAATATACACAAAATTGTACTTTCTATGTAATGATCAGGCACTGAGGCAATGCTAAGTTTAGTATCTGTTCCTCAATCATTTTTATTGCAAGCAAATAGTGTACTTTGTCAGTATATAGCATTTAGTTTCCCCCAAGACATTCATTCCCAAAACATAAAAGAGCATTTATATGAGAAAAGAATAAAGTCTGCAGCTCCTTTTGTCTCCAGCTGCCAGACTCATTTTTTACTATTTTCCCTGCAGGAAGTCATCAGACTTCACAAACTGTCTCCGAAATGGTGCAGTTGGTGTTCATCGGAAACTTTTTTGTTGCTTTAATTTATTTATGTGGTACAGTAATTAAGATCATAGAGGGAAAAAGAGCTTTAACACGCAAATTGTTCTGGAAAAACTAAAGAGGACGCCATGTTTAAGGCAATGATTATAATTTATAGGACATGTGAGGGGAGTGCTCCAAGCTAAGTAACAGTGTTAGAGATGTTAGATTTAGGTCTTATTTTTAATCTAGTTTTGGCCGTTTTCTTTTTTTTTTTTAAGTTAATTTGGGGCTTTTACTCTTTTATGTAGAGGACTGGACAGTGGATAGAGAGGGGAACTGAGAATAAAAGTGGGTAATGACATGCAGTAGAGGGCCTAAAGGCTGGTGTCACACTGTCCATTCGGAGGACTCTGTACACAGGGTGCTTGATTTAACCTTTGCTCCTTTCTATTAAAGCCTCAGAAAGTAGTTTTTTATGTTATCAAAATGGACTAAAATTGATATTGATGCCTATGCATGACATTTAAAAGTGAACAAGACCATCAGAAACAGGACTGACACTTATTATGAGTTCATTTTTTATATGTTTAATTCGTGCACAGGAGTAGGTGAAGCAACAGCTCTGTTTTTTTAATCTTCCATGTAAAATACTCACAATCAATGATACACTTGACTGTCAGAGGTTAAAGGGATAATGTTTTGGTCAAAAATCACTACTTTAGAATGTAGGGGACAACATATGCAAAGACTTCTTTTGACCACAGGGGGCGCCAAAATTGACACAAACCAAAAGTGCCTTGTAAGCACATGCAGCTATCCCTGAAGGATTTAACAGCAGCATATTTAGAGATCAGGGATGGTGGACAAATAGTATGAGGCCCATGAAAACTGGAAGTTGTGAAGTCGAAGTCAATGCTACTGCTAAATTAACACAGAGACATTGTGAGAGTTGTAGTTTTTATGTTACAGGGTGTGATACAAACAGATGAACTTCAGAATGGCTGAGAAAATTGAAAGTTTTGGAATAACAGATTGAACTGGAAACACTTTTTATCAATCCATCACTTATAATGCATTATAACGAAAAATATATATTGCTCTTTAAATGCATTAATAAGGCTTCATGACAATTTTTATAAGTGATTTTACTCACTGTTTGAAACACATAATAAACACTGTTATAAGCTGTGATGAATGCCTATACCCACTCAGACTGTTATTACCCTGACAAATGCATTTATACAGCTTTATAAATATGCATTATCAGTGTTGGGTTCATATAAAGTGTTGACGCTGGACTCTGTACTCTCTAGCACGTTAGTTCTTTCCCCACTGGCAGGTAAATAGATGATATCCAACCCCAGCCTGCAGGTGAACATCATACCTGTAGTTTTCTTGAGCAGTTCACAGGTGCATGGTAGAAACGAGCAAAAAATGAGAATCAAAAGACAACTAAGGTACGTTATGAACTGGTCATAGCTGCAGCCTGAGGTTTGTACAACTGGTCTCCAACCTAACCTTTAAACATCTAAATCAAGCTGCAACTAAATCGGATCCTGCAGGTCTGTGCACCGCAAAGGAATATCTGCTCTGCACTGTAAAATAGTTCTGTTGCATTTGATTGCAGAAACAATAAAACCGAAACACACTTGATGTTTGATGTGCGTTAAAAGAAAAACAACTTTGCATGCAGAGCAGTTTCCTCCTGCCTGAGGGATAAAATGAAATAAAATGTCCTACTGTTGTGTGTAATCAAAGACAGCTTAAGCATTAAACTTAGTCTGCAGGGAATCATATTGAAAGAAAAGATCTGACAATTCTGAGTACTGGCTGTTTTAGAGAGGACATAAGGAATCAATTTACCCTGGAGGAGGACCTCTATACTGTAATCTTACATTTTGAATGTCACTCTTTTAATGAATTTAACAAGCGTCTCACCAAGATTTTATCCCATTGCTAATCAATTCAAGCAAACTGTTTCTGGGATTTAACTCTAAAGGATATTTTATTTCTGCATGTCTGCCAATTTGAACCTCCCTATTAACTAAGAGCACCTTGGAAACATCCACCCCAAACAGTCAGGTTTGTAGCTTCAGCTGAGGCATTTCGATGTCCTCATTATATCCTCTGAAATGTTCAGAATCCAAAGAAAACAAAAAACGGAGTCCCTCCTTCTCCTTGATTGTTTTAGCTGATCACTTTGGACTTTCCTAATGCCCGTTCCACCACATAGTCCGTGAATCTGGAGTGAAATTAATATTTCAAAACTTGTGACAGGGCTGCTTGACTTGGCCGCGTGTCGGCGACAGGCCATTCATCACAGAGTTAAGTGTCAGCATTAAATTATTCCCGCTATTATGACAGCAACATTACTCATCAGGATTAGGGCTAGCCAAACAGAGGCTCCTCAGCCGCAGCCATCTCCTGCTCCCCTATCGATCGCTGTTCCCTCCATTACCAACACAGAGGCTATCTGCATGACACCGGCACACTGCGCATGTTGATGATGCTCTTGTCTTCTGGCAGAGAGAGAGAGAGTGAAGGAAGGAGCAAAACACAAGAGAAAAGAGGAGATAAAGAGAGACTGTACGTAGAGACTCTCCTGAGAGTGAGGCTATAATGAAGTGCTGGATAGGTTTAATACCAACAACAGAAGGGGCCACTGCCGTAGTCAAGTGCTGTTAATATCTCCTCCATTCCTTAAGCAAATCAAGTTATCTGCCACTGCCTGTGTTTCGATAAGGAGCGGATGAGGTCCGTTGAGAACAGCTTGATTTAGATGTTTAAAGTGAATATCCAGATAGCTCAAACACATACTCTGTATGATCCGAATCTTCTTGTATGTCTGCTTGTTTTTTCACCCAGCGGAGCGTGCACTCCCACTGAAAGAGGGAGATAAAACTGCAGTGGCGTCTGCATAAATCCCTCATTTCTATGCCCTTGCCTCCAATGCCTCAAACGTGCCACAAGACATTACTTAAATAATGCCTGAAGGTGCAAACGCCACTGACGGTGTCCCCCTCCGTTCAATTTGAAACGCATCAAATCCCCCCTAATTCCACATTTCAGGCTTTTAAATTGCCCTGTGCTCTGAAACGTAACCAAAGGCTTCAACTTTGTTTCAGGACTTTTTTCCCCTTTTTTATTTTCTATTAATGTCAACTTTGTGTTACTCTGAGAGGGTGAGATAAGAGAGGGAATAAGGCCATTTTCTTTTGGTTGTAAGTGTCCTCTGCACGGTCACACTGCAGCTTTCAGGAAATGGAAGAGTGGAGAGTTTTCAACGCAGGCCAATTTTAGGAAGTGAAAGCTGACCTCTTCGGGGACTTCATCATGGCATGTGTCTCTCAAACAGAAGAATCTCTCTGGACATTGTTCTCTTAACAGGACAACTGTGGACCACATAGACAGTACAACAACCTGTCCCATCTTAGAAACCTCTGTTAAGTCCCCACAACCCGGTCTGACTTCATGACTCCAAGTATGTAACTTAACTTATTGAAAGTTTCTTTGCTTGAAATCAAAGTGAGTGACTCTGAGCTGCTTAGTTACTTTTCCTTTAACTTGTTCATTTCTAAGTTACAAAGAAAAGCTCTGACAAATGTAGCCGTAACACCAGACAAAAATACATTTATACCATTATTTAACATTGTATTTGTTCTGAACAAAGAGTAACATCTTCTATGGTTTCAAAGCTCTCAGGGTTTACTTGGTAGCTGAGTGGTCTTTCAATCTGATATCAAAGATTTATGAACAAACAATATGATGGAAAAAATATATATTTTTTAAATTATATACTATACATTATATTCTGTGTAATTAGTTTCTAAAGTTTGTCCACAGCTCCATAGGGATTACTGGAGGAGGCGGGATTTATGACCTATACTGCAGCCTGTCACCAGAGGGTGCTGTTCTCGCGGTAGCTTCACCCAACGAAAAGGCAGAGGGCATCCATTCTATATACAGTCTATGGGTATAATATGGCTGCAATGATAGAATTTGAGATGACAGGGCTAAGCAGCAACCTCTGGTCTTGAAAAATGAAGCGAATGCAGAAGTGTTAAAAACTGCAGTTCCCAAAATGTCCAGTCATGACTGCGGAAGCACTGGGAACCACATACGCAACAAACTGGGAAAAAAATGGTTTTAGAGAAATAAAAATTAAACATTTGCAGCCTGGTTCAAAAACGGTCAAATACAGCTACAAGATCAGTACAGATTGGCTTATACATCCTCACATGCTTTACACACATTATCTCTCATTTCTCAGATGCACAGCTGACTTGACTGGGAGGTGGGCACACTGCCTCTGGAAGCCGGCCCCTAGTAGGCTGACTAAAAGTTAGGTGGAGTTAGCGAGACCAATATGGGGAGTGCTGCTGAGAGGCTTTAAAGTCCCACCTCACCAACAAATGGGTGACATCATCAATATTGCATTTAGCCCTCATACAGTCTATGAATAAATTACAATAAGATCAGATAAAATACCATGTAATATGATACAATAACCTAACAAACCATGAGTGATGGTATATGTTTATGTCTGATTTCAAAAGATATGATATAATTGGATGAGACATATTGAAACATACATACACACGCAATGATACTATGACGCAGTGGCAGATAATACAGTCTAATACGATTTGACATAATATGAGGCGATACAATATGACAGGATACCACAACAAACAGAGAGATAAGACACAACATGCAATGCAATATAATATGATAACACACAAACAAACTCACTGGAGGGCTCGGCACTGCACTTTCAAACTGTCACTTTAACATCTAAGATATTTCTGCCTCTGTCTAATGATTCTGTCAAACTGCATCTGTGTGACTGCAGTTTTGATGTATCAGTGACCCAAAAAAGCAGACAGCATTGGGATGATGTAACATAAGCCTGCACGGGTCAATGTATTGAGTGATGTAGAGCTCATAGTAGATTGAAAATCTCTCCATCAGTGTATCACATTTCTGCTTTGAAAAGATGAAAACAGAGAGACCCGTTAGCATGTGAAGTTATGATTTCATTACGAAGCAGAAAAATGCTCATAAATGTTTAACTATGTCAATGTATCACTGAATTATTAATATACAATTATAAGGGACTCAATTTTTTGACATTGATTTTCTTCTCCTAACTAGCCCTTCATTTAAACCTAATCCAAAATAGGAGCCAGACACAGCAGCAATAAAACGTCACTTTTCAAAGTGAAAAATGTTATCAAAGAAGTCAGGAGACGCAGAGCCCCCTCAGTCTTTGTTTCCCTTTCTTTAGCTCGTCTTATCGCTCTATTACAAATCTCCCCGCTTGGACCAACGTCATTTTTCTCCCATGTAGCTATCAAATGCCCCCTCTCCCCCCTCCCCATGTGTATCGACCACCCTCTCCTCCTGCAGATCAATGCAGGGCCTATGGAGGCTGGAACAAAAACTGTAATTACTCACAAAGCTACAAATTCCTCTGCGATAACAGCTTATTTCATTCATTACTGCGAGAGGAAAAAATACACACATGCACACATTTTTGTGCACATAATGTTAAAAAGTAACAAGTAATAATCGTGGAGAACTTTTTTTTACTTGTGAACTTCTCCAAAAAGAGGTGAAAAGAAACTCTTTTTCTTTCATTTTGACGCCAATAACACCAAAATAACTCAAATCAAGTTTAAACCTGTAACTCCATATTCAGCTTGTTATTTCTCCCCCTCTTTCATCCCGTCTCTGTCATCAGTGTGTCCAACAAAAATCCGTTTTGAACCCCAGCTGGAAAAGATGAATTATTTCCCACCATGAGAAATAAGGTGAGCAATAAAACCTCTCATGATACAAAAGGTTGGGAAAGGATAACAAACAAGTGGGTGAGATTTGCTGCCTTTCAGCAACCCTCTTAAGTGGTAATGGGATAACCCTGGACACGTCAAGAGCCTATCAAACTGCCCCTCACATTCGACCCCTGGGTGAGACAGGAAGGGCCTGCTTTGTTTGTAGCAATTGGGTCCTGTGTGCAGGGCCGTAATGAAGTGACCTGAAATAATGGAAAGCCCTGGGCCCAGCGCAGATGATTTTTGCTGGGATAAGAGCAGGGATCCTGATTCGGAGTCACAGTTCATTTCATTTTTCGCCTCTGATGAGATCTCCTCTGTTATCTGATAAAATTGAACAGCCATTACCGGCAGGGGCTCAGGCCGGCCAAGCGGTAAAGCGCTGCCGACTGCTCCTAACAGAAATCCTATACACTCCACTTTGTCAGCAGTTTTGAATTCATCGTCTGCCGGGGGTTTCAGCCCGATGATAGGAATAATCTCAGCCCAACCAAGATTGACACTTCATTTCAGAAATCAATATTTACAATTTACTTCTTTCAAAGTTCATTCTGGGAGAAGATTCCATATTATCCTTTCTAAATAAGCTGATCATATCTCTCTCTCTTTCCTGAAATGGCTTCTCCCAAAATGTGAATTTTTTGGTTTAGGAAGAAAAATCAATGTCGCCATTGTGGGCTTTAATCTGCCCTTTGATGACAGTAAATCTTTTTTCTTTTTATAGGCGAACGGCTGTGGGCGGCTGACACCATTTCCTCCCAGAACAAAGCCCCCTCGCCCCGTGTGGACGCTGGTAGATACATGGAGCCCTAATGTGGCTGGACACGCCACCGACGGGTCATTAATCAGACACTGTGACAGCCACTTCTTCCCAATCCAGCCCCGACTTCAGCCCCTCGACAAGCCCACTCAACTCCTCACCCACAGGAGGCCACGCAGAGAGCACAGAGACAGAGAGAAGAGGATTGAACAGGAAGACAGGATAGAGAGGGATGAGGAGAGATGCTACAAAGCCGAGGTATAAAGGGACTCAGGCATGATGGGTAGGACTTACAGATAAAAGAATTAGAGACGTGTTGGCACTTGAGATAAACTGTAGTGTAACCCAGAGGAGAAGTGGATCTGAGGATGATCATAGCTGGATCATAAACTGCTGTAGACGACACTTGTATCCTTTTAAGCTTGCATCATACCCAAGGCCCATTACAGACATCTGGTATCGGTCTCTGCTAACAGCACATGCACCTTTGACCAGCAGCTGAGACCATCATGTTGACCCAGTGGATGCTTTTCAAAATCTGAACCAAAGCAAATACATCCTAACCTTGTCTTTCATACTTGTTTCTCACTCTTTCTTAGGGTGACCATATTCTGAATCCCCGAAAAGAGGACACAACTACGCAGGGGCGGAGTCACAGAGTCACACGTAGTAAATTTTGAGAGTTTTTCGGGTCGGGTGGGGTATTTTTTACGTGCCTCTAACTCAGTAAGTCCACAAGTCACAAACTCAAAACTTCCATACAAAACCCTGAGCATTTGAAGGATTTTACAAACTCCCCCGGACAAAGCCGGACAGGCCAGACAGCCCCCCAAAAAGAGGACATGTCTGGGTAAAAGAGGAAGTATGGTCACCCTACTCTTTCTGGTTGTCTGTTGGTCTGCAGTGTCTTTAACCCAATGACTTCCTCTCCAATAGTACAGGAATAATCACATTATTGTCCTGTGAAAAACATGGGATCAGTTAGTGTTTTTGACAAATATCTGACAGTACCAAGTCCCAATCTGATACTTGTGTCCAAGTCCAGCTGCTGTAAATACCACCTATATGTTCTACATGTTCAGCTTTACGAGCATGTAGATCAGTGCTGCTGTGAGGGCAACTTCCATAAGCTGGTGTGAAATACTTGATCCAGCTGATGGACCAAGGATGTGAATATTGGACTTTGACACAACTCTTTTAAATTATTCCTCTCTTTTTTGACCTCATACTTTTTTCCCCCACAAACCAGATAAGGATATCATCTGACCTGGATCACTTTACACTGGAAAGTGGAGGAAAGACCGAGGAGTAGAGTTAGCATCAGTTACAACATGGGAAAACACCAGGGCGCTAGATGTCTGTTGTAGCCCCTTTAAGGTGGATTGTAGAGTCCAAAGTTAAAGGATCCAAAAGGCAGCTAAAATCTGCATTATTGTTACCCTCTGCAGGTTTTTAGTGTTTCTTTTAAATCCAAAGTCTTTTACTGTCTCGCAGCAGCCTTCTTCTTCTGTAGCTTTAGCGAACATGCTCTGGTCCCCGCATGCATGTTTAGTTTTTAGATACCAAATCTAATTGGTTGGAATGAACACAAATCTATATTGTCAGTGGCTGCTGGATGTTTTTTTCACTATCTAGTGTAGTGTAGTCATTTTAGCCACAGCGCCATCCACCAATTCCATCTGGATGCATTTGTGAGACAAATTTTGTTGCCCCCTCACAAGGACAAGGACTCACAAGAATCTGCGAATTCACACGCAATCCCGCAATAACAAGTTGTCTCCATAAAGGTAGTCATATAATAATTTAAGCAGTAGATTGTGTCCATCCAGAGGAGGAAATCCACTCTGTCCTGACAATATTGTACTAATTTGTTATTTACCATCCACTCCCATCCTGCTATGGAATATTATTTATATCCTTTTTATAAATGGAAACGATCAGCGGAGATCGGCACTGATAGCCTTTCTGCCACCTTTCTGCATGCGATGGAAATTTGGGGCAACAGAATGTTATGTTTGGTATTTGTATCTGCCTTTTGTTCCCAAGAGTTGCCATAAACTGCAGTAAAGTGGTTATTGTCGCTGTAATCTGGCTGGCTATGCATACGTGTGTTCAAACTGCTGCCCTAGTTGAGGCTGGATTTTTAAGTCGCACAGATGATTTTAGAGTCAAGCTAATTTTCAGACATATTTCACATCAGGGGGGCACAGGAGACAATCATCTAATAGGTTTTGCTCAACTGATCAGATGAATATCTGGAGTGTTAGAAATTGAGACCAGTTCACTGCACACTGTTGCACTGTAGCCACAAGCTGATTCCCTGATTTTAAGGCTTTTTTATCATCACCTTGTGGACAACTAAGATACACAGAGATACACAATACAGCCACAATATTACGATCACCTGTGCAACTCAATACAGTGCAATCAACTTTTACTTTTACAAATCTTCTACATTTACAGTTCTGGGCTGTTTTCAGTCATGGCCATCCATGAGCTGGGCCAAGCTTTTAAGATAATCCGATGTGGATCAGAGCGGTGGACATTAACCATTCAGCACTGATTAAGATCTGTGGTACTGTACTGTATAAAGCTGAACTTCTACAAGCCCATTACTTTTGCACAACAGTTCAATGGTCTGCTTCATGATGGGACAAATGCAGTGACATGTCGCAGAGGAGAGGAAGAACTAGTGGATCAGCAAACTATTCTTGGCCTGTAATGCAGCACTCTTGAAATAAAGATCCCACTCAGACTGAAGCCTGTCTTTGACTGATATCTGTCTCCGCTGAATGTGGTTGCTCTGTATTCACCCAACAATATAAACTCCTACCCAGAGAAATCATTGAATTTTGGGGTCCATGTCAAGACCTCAGTCAATTTGCAAACGTCTTATTTTGGATATGATCTCAAGTCGTCCTGCTCTGTATTTGTTTTCAAGCCTGTGTGTCTCTGAGCCATAGAAAGGCGATAAGAACACACATTAACACAGATCATCACGAGCAAACCCTCAGAGGTGCAAGTTGATGCAGTTAAAGGAGAAATAACCAATCACAACTTTGGCTTCACTGAAAACCTTAACATGATTTGCTGCTAAGTTAGCGCCCAGTGAGCATGTGTGTTATCCAATTTTCATTGTTCTTTGGGATTGAAGTGATGTTCCAAATCATCTTACAGGCACAGCTAATGTGGTTTCAATTGATCACAGGTTTGAAGGAGAACCATTTTCTCATTGTCTGTCAGGTGCCTGAGGACAGCGGGGCGCAAATGTATATATCTGTCTTAAAACTGAATATGTGCGCATGAATATATACATCTAGGTTTTTCTATCTGCACCCTGGCGATAATTTAGTTTCTCCTGAGCCTCGTCTTCCTGAGCCCGTATGCTCCATTAAAAGCCCACTTCACCATAAGCCCCAGCGGATAACATAAAATACTGCACTTCTCCGTATTGACTGAGTAAAATGAAATAATCTATGATGCATGAACAAGCCCTAAATGAAATAATAATGTCCTTAGCGGTGAAAAACGGATTGATGGTACAGTAATTGAGCAGATTTATTTCCAGCCGTTGGAAAATGGGAGGAGAGGGAGGCGGCGGTGGTCTGCTGAAAACTGCCCTGCTATTTTATTTAATCTCATATTGGAGGAATTATTGGCTGGTAATCTATTGTTAAACATCATTTAGGGTGATGGATTGAGAGCGTCAAGCTTTTCCCCACGTAATCAATTCATATCTCATTAGCACGTATTATTTATGATTCTCATAATGTCCCTGCGGGGACGGGGGCTGGGGGAGAGCCGACCCCACTGGAGGCCTCAGCTGTGGCTAAAATGAAGTGTGACATACTGTAGCTTATGACCTCATAACTGCATATAAAAATGATTTTGTTTGCACCATTGATTTGTTTCTTGCTGGCTTAAAAAAAAAAAAAAGACCAGAAAGATGAAGGGTTTGGTGGCTGTTTGTCGTTTTTCACACTGCAAAGAAAAAACACTGAGAAAGAAAAATTGAACATATTTAAAGAGTGTGCGGCACATTTTTCTAATCCTAACAAAGCAGTTATTACATGTGTGATTGAACACAGTAGTGCACACACAGATTAAACTCATCTACTATGACTACCTATCCATCCATCAATCTGTTTAAACAATAGTATTTTTTAAAAAAGACGTATTTTAACCAAATATAAAATACCTCTTTTTCAACTGAAGGCAACAAATTTAAAGAAAAAAAAAAACACGGACTACAAAACTTTTTTCTTTATATCAACTTAATGATTTTCAAAACCTACAAAGTTTTAGTTAGACGCTATGATAATAATGTATTTTTCAACTGTAATTCAGAGGTCTTTTATGATGATCATGGAGCTGTAGTGTTGCATTATGTGACCAAAGACACTGTGACTCATTTTGAGTGGTTTAAAAAAATTGTGTTTAAATGACTTTGAATATCAAAACTGAAAGACTGTGCAGTTTTAGAGCGTTACTTCGCCCCCATGAAAAATAAGAATCAGTTTGTGATCCATTTTGAAATCTTGACATATTAAAACCAAAAACTGGCTTTGAGCTGAATGCATAAGGGGAGAGGTCTGAAAGTTCAGATATGGGTCCTCGCTGTGTCATTAATTAAATGCATCTGAAACACTTTACTATGTGACTCTGATGTCCTTCTGCTGGTATCACACAATTCTCAGTTGTCTATTATTTTGGTCAGAAATGAAACTTATTCTTATTACATAAGTTTTATTTTATTAAAATTATTTGAGGTGTACTTTATATTTTCTTGCTTTCATCTGTTACCTCTAAAGATAAAATTTGCACTACAGCGGAAGCCGCTCGCTGCTGTAAAGGCTAGCTAGTTTGTAGTCGAGTCTTTGTCTTCTTCTGTTACTGCTTCTTTGTCTTTACTTTGTTATGTGGCAACCAGCGTAAAGAACCACCACTATGAACCATTTACCAACAGTGTGCCGTTTGTTTATTTAAAGCACAATATTGATATTGCTCCTTTTCTTGAAGGTGGTTGTCTTCAACACACTTCAGAAACTTAAAATTAAGCAAGTGTTGGTCTTTTAATTAGACTTAAAATAATCTTTGTGTACCTGAATAGTTAAGATAAACATCTTGAGCCGTATTTTTGACTCCTAATATTTTAACTAAAGCTTTTGTCTGGACTTTCTGGGTAAATGTGTTTTATGTTATACGAGATATAAGCAAAAAACGCTCACTTATTTTTGAGTTTTTGCAGTACCTTGGTAGATTGAAGCATCTCTACAACCTTACTGAATGTGTGATGACGAAATCTACTTTATGGTGATTTCCTTGCTAAATTTATCACCACATTCACAGCTGTTAATTTGTATTTTCTTTCTCTTACTGCCACTGTCCTCTCTGGCCCATGTCCATCTCTGTTGAGTGATGAAGGCTGAATCAACTTCTTGTCATAGCTTTCCAGTGGAGTCCTGTGGTAGAGGTCTGATGATTTCTTTGCACCACCACACAACAAAGCTGCATCAGAAGGTTCTTACGTGGTGCAGAAATGTTGAGGTTCTGTAAAAATCTGCGGTAAAAATCAGCATTAACTCCATGCATTGTTCTTGTACTCCTCTACAATAACTTGGGGTCAAATGTCTTGAAAGAGCCTCAAGTTAGTGAGCATCTCAATCCACTTTTTTTTTATTACAGGCTATAATGATACCTCTTTGTATCCCCACAGTAGGGAAATTCAAACAATTGTCTTAAATGAGTATGCCTCTGTACATGCTGTGCAAGAAGAGAGACTCTAGAGAAATGTAGAGCAGTCCCAGTTAAATCAGTTGTAATGGATGATTATTTGCACAGTCTTCATAAAATAAGAGCTACAGTGATGCTCTGACAATAAAACGGCAGAATGATTTTCCCCCCAACAGGCTGCGGAGGTCTTAAGCCTGAGATCTGTGATCAATATCCTGGACAGGGGCATGCTGAGCTGCAGGAGCTTTCCTCCTGTTCACTGAGCCAGCACAGAAAAGGAAAAGTGTCATATTGTGATCTTTATCCAGTAATCGTCCTGACACACAGTCAAGTGATATATATGTCCGCTCTTTGCTCCGGGGCTCCAGGACTGTCCGCTGTGTGTGAGTGCAAAGCAGCTATAACACCTCTGCCGAGCTGCTGGTAGAACTCTGCAACCAAAAACAGCTCTGAACCAGAGGAGAGTGGAGGAAAAAAAAGCAATTATAGACAAGTTATGTTCAATTGGAAGCTGTTGCAACAAAACAGTGTAAGAATGGACGGATACTGGTGATAAGTTTTGGGATCAGTCAATGTTTATTTTCAGCAACCGCACAAAACAAGCTATTCGGCTAAGTAGATGCACCACCTGTTCCTTACTAACACTCAGAGGTTTGAAGAAGCAGCTCAGCCACTACTTAAACACTGATCTACACACACAGTGATGCATTTTTACTCTGAGCTAACACATCCTGTTTGTTTAAGGTGTTCATTACACAGTAAAAATTCAAATCTCAGCCAGTGTTTTTTATGCTTGGTAAGGAAATGTCTTACCAAAACCAGTACTCGATTTGGAAGTTTCTTGTTGTTATTATTATCATTATCATTATCATTATTATTATTATTATTATTATTATTGTTATGTGTTTTTTTTCTTCCTTTCTAGGGCTATTATGGCACTATTTATTTCTTTGACTTCTTTTAATGGGGGATCAAGGCTAAAGGCTATGTGTTTTTGTCTAAGAAACACCCCTGGACACTCACAATGGACATAAACTGTGTTCTTTTGAAATAAAGTAATGAAACACAAGGTTAGAGACTTGTTTATCAACGTAAACTTTGGACACGGAGTTGTTAGCGGTAAACAGTGGCAAAAAAAAAAACACCGAACACCATTCTCATGTGCAGTTTTTTTTTTTTTCCTCATGGCAGCAAGAAGCAGGAAGACAGCTCAACTATGGTGTACTAAAAGGGACAAAAATGCATGTTATCAAAGTGTCAAAGAAAACAACCGCATGATTCCCACTGTAGATGGACGTCCTTTCAATGAGAACATTTTGTAGTGCTGAATTGGATATCATAATATTATAAGGCATGTAAATAAAACTTTGTCATCTGTTGAGTGTTCTGGTGCCTCAGTTGGATGATGATAATAATAATCATAATAATAATCATGACTCATCATTGCACAAATCCACAGCAGCAAATAAAGTGAGCGTTCATTCACTGTATTCACCCCTGAGTAGATCTAAATGACATTCAGACTTAAACATTTCCAGATCAGAGAATCAGATCTACAAACATCTGGCATGATGTTCAAAGATGATTAAAGAGATGCTCAAACCAAAGATGTTCCATCACTTAAACCTCCATGCAGAACAATCTCACTTTCAGTTTTGTCTAAGCAACCTTTGGCTTTTATCAAATCAACATTAAGCTGAATAGCAGACAGACTATTTGGGGACGATTCATTGTTAGTGTCTCCTATGAAGGCCATCAACTAATCACAGCTGTTAAAGACATCCCTCCTTAAGTAAAGCTCTCCTCCTTCAGTGATTCACTTTGTGGTTGCTAAAAGAAAATAGTCATCACTAAGGCTTCTTAAAGCTGAGGTCAGATACAGAATTTTTTGTCTGTTACAATGGTCGCCATGTCAGATGAGGAGTTTACAGGGGTACACATTCATGCCTTGACATGTTCGACAGACATGACGGGCTACATGGTGGTACCAAACCAACCATACAAAAGCACTCTTTTTGCTGTC